CCCCTACAGCTCGTCTTTTTCGAGCTCGCACAAACGCGCACCTGAGGGGGAGAAGGGTGTGTCGCGGCGATAATGAAATCTCCTTTTTGGAGCAAAAAATCGTTTCACACCGTTCTGTCGCAGCGAGTTAGGAGACTCCTCATCCTGGAAATGATCAACTAAACGGGGCGGTTTGCGCTTGACACGCACCTGCCGGAGCAGGCGAGCGTGCGATTAAAATGTGTAAATATCAGCAAGTACCTGCAGGCCAGAGTGGACCCGTCTTTCATGAGCTAAGATCCACATCAAAGTGACTCCGGCAACAGAGCTCCAGGCCAACCTGTTCAAAGCACGAGGCCTCCTCTGAATTCTGTTTTATGCTTGTTGTGCGTATTGTGTCTCTGAATAGAGCATGTATGATTCACGGCGGAAGGGAAAGGGTACAAGGGTTTAATCCAGAGGATAGATGTGTGTTGGGAGCACAGAAACGAGACACGGTAGAAAGAGATTCATTTGCCTGCTTTGTTGTTCCTTGAATAAAAATGATTTCGGCCTCTTTCTGCCGGAGACCTTTTGTAGTGGGGCAGTAATTACTGTCCATTTTCAGGCAAAGTGTAATCAAGGCCTGAAAAAGAAAATTAGATAATAAGCATCAAATGTGAAAAGGAGGGAACAGCGAGAAAACTAGAATCTTAATTTGGAATAAAAGAAGATTTGATTAACATGACCAAAGGTTTACAACATCTTGTTTGAATATAATAGATAGTAATTACTTTCATATTGAATCAAGTTCACTTCAGAGCAAATTATTTAAATGAGAAGATAAAATGTATCTGGATTAAAATGAGTATGACAGCTTTCAAGTCTTTCCTTTTTTCAGGGCTTGACCAAATTAGGCTAATTTACAAAATACGCACATTAGAGTGCATCAAGCTTTATGTAGTTTATCTCAAAGCGCTGTGCTGAAAAGGAACGCTGGCTAAAGCAACATCCGTTCTCTTAAGAGAAAGCTTTGTTTTCGCTGTAGACGGGCGAATACTGGCGCATTAACGTCAGAAACTCCCGAAATGCAGTACATGATCTTTTTTTTGGATCATCTGACGTAGAGTAAAATGAAGTATGCCTTCTGTTCCTAGGTCAGACGATAAAATACACTGTTGAAAGTTTGTGGTCAGTAAGATTTTGTTTTCTTTTTAAATGAATAAATACTTTTATTCAGCAATGATGCAATTGGTCAAAAGTAACAGTAAGGACACGGTTACAAAATATTTCTATTTAAAATAAATATGGTTGTTTAAACCTTTATATTCATCAGAGTAAAAAAAAAAAAAATCACGTTTGCACAAAAATTAAGCACCACTGTTGTCAACATAAGAAATTGATTTTGAGCAGTAATATTCCACAAAATTAGTTTTTACTGTTTTGATCAAATAAAGCCTTGGTGAGGATGAGAGATATTTAAAATATCTTACCGACCACAAACTGTTACCTATATTCATGTAGCTATATCTCAAATAGGACACCTCACCACCCAAAGCTGGAGCGGTTTACCAGTTTTTTTTTTTAATGAAGTTCAAATGAGTTGTGACTCACTTTTTAAAGGCTTTGTAAAGTGAACTCAGGTTAAACGGATCAGTCGAGCGAAAAATATCGTCATAATCCCTGACCCACCTTACCTTTCATATTTCCATAAATTATCCAATAAAAGCGCTATTATCAATGTCATAATCAGCAGTACCTAATTGACTTGCATTTGGGTCTCATGAATTATTAAGCAAGAGGATATTGAAATAATGAATATTCAGGGGGAAAAAAGACATGGAGCATTAAGATGATTAGAAGGTATGACATAATCTTCATTATATTGTCTATGTAACCTCAAAGTCTTGTGTCATCCGAATCATTACCCCAGTATAGCAGAGTGTGTTCTGCTATGCAAATGAGCAGTATGGGCAGCCTTACTTCACAGATTCATCAATAAATTGACAGTTAAAACTTCCAAACCTTTGCTAAAAACATCTCCGTGAATAAGCGTCACCAGGCAAACAAGAACTTGTGAAATTAGCTGTTTGACAGGCATAGCAGTTTGGAGAGGTTAATGTCATTAATTCATTATGTCATTATTGGCGTGCCCTGTTTGCAAAACAGCGAAAATAACAGCCGAATCTTTTAAATGACTATTGTAATTGCACCTGTTGCCAATTACAGCGTGTAGGATGCATCAATCACTGCACATCATTGCCCAGCGAAGCAGCAAGTGCGTCGTTCCTGTTTGCCCATGCAGATATACCTGTATGCTTATCAAAATCTCTTTTAATCAATCAAACTCCAACATGAAGAAACTTCATGAAACTTATTGAAGATAAACGGGCATTAAACTGCAGTGATTTGCATGGCTGCTACAGTCCTCCTATTCAATGAAAGCTGATGACTACAGAGAACACGTACATGAATATCAGGAGACAGACATAAACTTACTTTCAGAACCTTGATAAATTCATTAGTCGATGGCCTTGTTCTGAATAATTAGATTTCAATCTCACAGAAAGTTCTTAGGCTATAAAGCTGAAACAATCTTAACTGTCAGAGCTTCCCCGATGCAAGATTGGGAAGAACAAGAATAGGGCATTAAAATAGTTAAGCAAACAAAGTTAAAATCATTTCACTCCCTATTAATTTAATAGGGTTGAGAACCCGTTAACAGTTCAGACAGAACAACATAAAATACTTGTGACAGACCTTCCTGCACTACTTGTGTAGCGCCAATGGCTTTGCAGCGCCAACTTTGTAGTCCGATTCCTGAGCCATATTATTTGTTCTATTTTTGAATATTAATATATGTATATATCCAATTATAGTACGAATAACTCTTAGTGCATTTTCACACCTATAGATTGCTTGTTTTGTTCCGAAACACGGACTTAAATTGATATAATGTTGCATTTTCTTCTTAGTTTGGTTAGCTTTCACAAGGCAACATTTCAAAACGTACCAAAATGTGTGGTTTCACTTTATTTTGATGGTGCCTTTAACACATTCTGTTCCCTATAAGTAGCATTGCACCTACATAACTCTTATTAGAGTGTTAGTAGAGTATTAGTCGACTGGTAGGGTTAGGGTTAGAATAAGTTGACATGTAGTTGCAAAGTTACTTATTGTCAGTAGAATGTATGTTGGGGAACCACCACAATAAAGAGCAGATATTAAGCAGACAGTTTACTTTAATGAGAGTTAGTTGACATGTTGTTGCAAAGATACTTGTAGTCAATAAATGTACAAAAGGGACCATCAAAATAAAGTGTTACCAAATGGGTTTATGCAAGTCACATGAGAGTACAACTGTCCTTTTATTGGTCAGAGTTTCCTCTGCATCATCTATCAAGATGATTGATAATTTCGCTCCATGAGCTTATTGTGACTTTATTTGTAACTGTCGCGACACATGCAAACACTATACGCATGTAGCCGTAATTCTCGATTTAAATGATATACTACATTCGTATATATTAATACTGCAGCAAATTCAAACGTGCTCTCTCTGGATCTCCCAGTGCTGTCTAGAGGTTTACTGTTTCAAGAGACGGAAATACTATATGAATGTTATAATGCAGATACAGCAGGAATCAAGGCTTCATCGGGACAGCATTCTCGCACAGAGAAGTGCAATTCATTATTCAACATTTTAAAAATGAAGAGGTGCCTCTTTTGGTTTTCAACTGTGATAACTAATGTGCTCGCTCACAGAATCAGACCCTACTGCTATTTCCCGTTATGAATTATAATACCAATTGGTTCATTGGTCCGTTGGGTCAGATTGCTTTCATACCTCAATCAAACCGCCCCAGAGTTCGTTTGCAATCGGGCCGAGAACACCTGCTGTCTTGAGGAGGATCCGAGTGTGACTTTTTGTGACGCTTTTGTGACGTAATGCCACTTTTACTACTTGTATCCCAAGCATGAGGCGGGGCCCAGTATGAGGTAGTGGAAGCAGGGCCCCCCTGGGGTCCCTTTCTGTCCATTTGCAATTGATAAGGACAGCCCTGGCTGTGGAGCTCACTTCAGTGCGGGCTCAGCAAAGGTTCACATATCGGCAGTAAAGGGGGAGCTTGCGAACACCATTCTAAAACTCAAAATAGCTATGGGACACCCTACGGTCTTGTGGACTTGAAGGACGAACACACACGCCATCCATTGTAAGTCCACAAGTGCACATGAAGTGTGCCATTTGGGACAGGGCCAACTCCCAATGATGAATGACTCTCATGAGTTATTTTAATGACTCAAACAAGTGCAGCTTAAAAACAACTGAGAGGGTTAAATCAGTGTAGTTAAAGACTTGTTGTTAAATATGCATATGATTATAGTTTGTCAGTAATATAAAAAAAGTTATTTAAAATATATTTAATTACATATTAAACAACAATACTAAACATAAATTGTGGAAATATATTTAATTATCCAATTATTGGATGGCATGTATGGCCATGGAGAGGGATATGAAAAGTCATTAAATAGTTTAAGCACACAATTTAAAAGAATGTGTTTATTAATGAAATTACCTCACACTTGGCAATGAAAATAGTTTTTCTTTTAAATATTTATTCTTTACAATTACTAAAAGAATAATTAATGTATAACCATTAAAGTTGCAATGTACTGGAAGTAGCAACTGATCATTCCTTCCTTATTGTGATGTACTTTCGAGTGAAACAGATTATTGAAAAGGAAAAAAAATAATAGTGTGGGAACTTGGTTCTGTAAGTTGATTCGAGGCAGATCTGAATGCAAGCCTGGGGTTGGAATCAGAATTAAATCAGAATCGAGACTGAAACTGAATTGTTAACTGAAACCTTCTCTGAACCCAATACAAGATGACAAAAACATATAAACCAGGCCTGAATGATATAAAAATAGAAATAACCAGGACATGCTCAGTGACATGGCAGAGAGGACGCCTTCAGTTGGTTTGATTTGTGTGAGATGATCTTCAAATCATCATTAGCTCAACTTTCTCTCTCCAGGCTGTTGACGCACATGCAGTTAGCGAGCTGGACCGTGCTGGATTGTGGAAACAGCCATCCATTTCCTTCATCGCGGCCCCCATCATTGCTACAAGGGTCAATTTGGAGAGCGAAATAAAAACAAAACGTGTGGTTCATTTTCCTGACGATGTCCAGCATTGGTGACGAGTCTAATCATTGTCATCCAAGAGATTTGAATGAATCTACCTCACCCTAGTTTAATTTCTATCTGTTTTAATTAAAAGCGTGTTATATTTACCCCTGACTGCACAGCTTTGAGTGTAGCAGAGAGAAGCCCAAGGGTAAAATTCTTCAGAAGAAACTTTATAATAAGGAATAAAAGGACAAGATTTTTCCACATGCCTATGTGAAATGTAGATTCAGTCTTCCTTGAACACTGTAATGCCCTCCTGCAAACAGTCTTAACATCTGAGGACAAAGGCAAGGGAAGGCAAGTTTATTTATATAGCACATTTCATACACAATGGTAATTCAAAGTGCAATCAATTAAAATAATTAAAACAGTTTAGAATAAAAAATTAAATAAAATACAGTCGGACGAACAGTGGCACAGTGCTCATTCAGTAAATGCACAGCAGTAAATGCACAGCTCATTCAGTAACTGCACAGTAAATGCGCAGCTGGATGTCACAAAGTGACATCTAATGCGCATGTCACAACTACATGTATGAAGACACCACAGGAAAAGCAACTTGGATCCTCACAAAGCTTTCAAAGCAAATCAGAGAAGTCATTATATACTTCAAATATAAATACAAAGTAGCAAACAAATGACAACATTCCCACCAAGTAAAATGGTTTGACAGGACAAAAGACATGCGTAGGCTCCAAAGATCCTTTCATCAGCAGTCTGACACAACCAAACGGAACTTCTCCCATCTGCTGAGGGCTGGACGCAATGATCGTCCACTGAGGGTTGTTTACATTTCTTCAAAAGCCCCATTTAGTTTCCCCTGACAAGGTAGAGTAAGAGAGTGAGGCGAAGATGGATGGAGGCACCTGCCCTAATGGAGGCTCAAACTGTGCCCACTAGTGCACGTTACATTGATAAATTGACAACAGTTGGGACATGCTCTACTAGTAGGGAGAATGAGGCTACTAGGACACTGGCTTGTTCTCTCCCTTGATCCTTTTCTCTCTCCCTCTCTCTCTGTACCTGAGAATAATCCTTACAATGTTACATGCGGTCTTGGCTGTACCACAACGCACCAAACCGGAACCTCCCGACCAACTGTATACCAGGAAATTGGATTTTGTTGTGGGCATGGAATAATTCACGTTTTGGGCCCAGGCAGAAATGGCAGCACACATATGAAGGAAAACCATTTTTGTGCGTTCTGCTGAAAACACCAGCTTTATGCCAGCATGAATTTCCATTCCATTCATTTTAGTCAATGCTGGTTTGGTGCTGATATTTATGGAAGCTTGTTTCCACCTCTGAGTAAAAAAAAAATAAGAAAGGTAACTGAATTACATTCTTGCATTCCCAAGTTTATTGCAAGTCAACTATGCAAAATAAAATATAAATTATGAGAAAGAAACTTGCAACTTAGAATTAATTTCTCATAATTGCGATTGTATTTATTTTAAATGCTTTTATCACCTCACAATTGAGAAACTTTTCCTTTGAATTCTGACTTTAAATCTTACAATTGACTTTATATCTCACAACAGCAACTGTGTCTCAAAATGTGACTTTAAATCATAATATGACTCACAATAAAACTATTTACTGTATATTTTCACCTTTATTCCTCATAATTTTTCGCTTACTTTTTCGTTAACTTTACTACTCCTGATTCTGACTTTTTATCTCATAATTGTGAATTTATTTATTACAACAACAGCAACTTTGTATGGCAATGTTACTTCATATCTAACCATATAACTACTTGTAATTTTGACTCTATTTGTCATTTCTGTCATGACCACTATCGTCAAATACGATTGACAATTAGCATACAGTTAGGATTGGCGGTATGGTTCTGTTCTGTGCAAGAACTCCCAGGAGATCCAATGCAGGCTAGCATGGATAAGAGCAGGGAGAGCAGAAATAACCCCACTTAGGGTAAACAGAACAGAACCAACATGAATGTATTGCAGATATAATTAATTTAAGATTTGAAAGCACAGCATAATTCGAGAATTTATTCTGATTTAAAGGGCAATCTGAATGCCAAATCCTGACTGGGAGAGAGGAGGAGCTGGGGATGGAGGAGGGTATTTAGCTCCTGAGAAACGCGATAGCTGCTGATAATACTGAAGGAGCTTATGTATGTATACAGTGATAGGCGTCGTATTCCTATGGGCAGACGTGGATCAGCTGAGAGTCAGCTGATGCGAGCTTGACTAACGTGACCTGCCAGAACTGACGCTACACTTAATAATTGTGACTTTATATCTCATTATTGCAATTATGTCATTATGTAATGATGACTATCATGTAATGATGAGTTGATATTATGAGAAATAAAGTTGCATTGCAAATGTGTTGTGAGTCAAAATGATGAGAAATAAAGTCACAATTGTCGTAATTTTGACGCACAATGTGCCTGTAAAACATAGAATGTGACTTTAAATTACAATCATAAATGTATTTCTTATTTTAAAATTTTTGTTTCATTTTTTACTCATTTACAGATTTTCATAGGGGCTGAAAGAATAACACAATAAAAAAAATGCTGCCCAACAGGTTTTTAGGCTCAAGGTGTAAGATGAGCAATTTTCAAAATGAATCATTGTTCTGAGCACCGCCTACTGCGGCATCTGTGAGGAATTAGTGAGGGGAAATACATTTAGTTAAAATAACACTGGAAAATGTCCTCACTCCAAATGCAGCAGGCTGTGAATAATAAGTGTGGTAATTTCAGGAATAAATGGAAACAGAGACAAGTGACGTTTCTCAATATCAAGTACACAAATTTCGGACCTGCTTCCTTGGTAGTTCGACTCAAGAGTACAAACTCACGAGAACGGGAGGACGAAAGTCCGATAATTCAGCAAATGGAACAGCAGCGCACTTGCTAACATTACTCACCTCACATTGGCTACTACGTTTATCTTCACATATTAACAATAAAAAGAATTATGGTATAAAACACCACTGCCTCTTTTCATTTTCATTTTTAAAATATACAGTAACATGTTAATGTGGTTCAGGCAATGTGCATATAGGCTCTGCTTATCTTTGGTGTATATGTACAGTATAATAAAATGAAATACGACAAAGCACAACCCTTTCTCTTTTTGTTAAATGTCAGTTTTAATGAACAATAATAGCCATTATAAAAGTATGTATAAAGTATAAGAAGCTTATACAATAGGAAATAAAGACAAGGAAACACGTTCGGTAAAACTACTGTAACATGTCCACTGTAGGCAAGTTTGAACAACCAAAGTGCAATTTATCAAAAATCCCAACGTGAACATATACAAAATAAATGCCTTGCCCAATACTAGACAAGAGACCAATAAAACATGAGGGCTATGTATACACAGACACACAAGACTAATCACCAAACAAGAAACACCTGAACACAATTAAAAAATGAACCAATCAAAACGTGACACATAAGACAAGGGAACCAGTAAGAACATAGGACACATGACCAAAACAACCAATCAGAACATGACACATAGCAAGCACAAGACATGATCACATGATTGCAAGATACATGAGGAGCAAGGGAAGCACATGACAAACAGGAAGCATGACTAAGAGTATGAATTACAAAATAAAAGACATGAACACAAACAAAACCCAAAACCAACCATGACACGTACAAAGTCAGTGCTCTAGTCGAACGGTATACATATCTAAAGTAATGAAGTCTAACTTTGGAACAAATTATATATTCATGAGTCCAATTTTTTCTATTAGATACACAAGACAAACTAAACTATACTATATCCTATATTTAAGCATTATAGAGACATCAGAGGCAGTGGCAAATGTCCGAAGGACTAGCCAAGGTAAGGCTGGTGGGGTACATGAGCACTGAGCGCCCGGTGATCGACTGGATTTCACAACTCCAGTCCAAAATGTAGGAGCATCTTTTCAAATAGGCACTATCTTTAACAATAAACCACAGATTTGAGCTTTGAGAAACTTTATTCTCACCTGAGTAACTCTTTAACCTATATTTCGTGACTCAATAGAAGTAGAATTTTTTAAACTATGCGGGTTAAACTCCTGCTCCATTGACGCTTGCTTGTTGCGAGATGCATTCTGGGATAACGTTTCACAAGTCCACAAGAGCACAAGTACTGACAAGAACACTTATTGAGGAAAGTCTACCGTCAATCCCTGATGAGAGAAGAGGTCAGAGGTCAAGGATCTGTTAACCCTTTCACACGTAAGTTTAAAATATTCTAACTGACCCCCCAGCGTGAGTTTTTCTAGGCGACCGTTATTTAGAACCGGTCACTTTAATGTTTCCATGGTGACGCGTCATTGCTTGTCACGTGACACAGCGCAACCACAACAGCGCTGAATGAATGATGATCTGCTTTTATGTCATTTTTCCTTTTTTATTCATAATATTCACAAATGTATTAGCTATAACATGAAACACTGATATTCTGATTGTCAAGTATGTGCAAGTGGATGTGTTTTGTTGTTTAAACACCTTTATAACGATCGCGTTAGTTGAGCTGTATGTGCGATGGGCGGCGCCATTTTAGTTTACAACACGTCAATTCCTCAACTTCTCACGAAATACATGAAAGTAAGTGGCCGGTGAACTGGGAGAAGAATAGGGTCAAATGTAAAGCTACTTACACAATGTGTATCTGATATGAATAAAACGTGTCATCTTATTATAATGGAAAAGATTGTTATTGCCGCTTTCATAGACATCAGTGTGTATTTTACAAACTCAAAATATTTTTTTTGCTAGTACTTATGTGTATTTAAATGTCTGAAACCTAAAATAAACATTATGTGGTTGAAAACACTGAATAGTTGTGATATATGACAGCACTGAGCGTGTCTGTCTCTGGCTCAGCGCCAGCCAACGCGCAAAAGCACGTTTGAATTTAGCAGTTGATCACGTGATGCACTGACCGTTCTAATCACACCGGTGTGATCGTACGCTCCAGGGACCAGCCAAGACTGATCACACCGGTGTGATCGTACGTG